CGTAAAAAGTCGTTTGAAGATTCCCGTAAAACGAAACACCACGTTTACGGCGAAAAGTGGCTACTATTCGGAATTATTCGAAAATCAGCCGAAAAGGTATTCGAATACATTCGAATATTCGATTCGTTTTGGACAACCCTGCTATGAAGCATAAAGATATAGAAGGTGGGGATGGGTTAGTTAAACTGACCAGAAGTTCTGTGAAGGAGAGGAGATTTGATAACATCATTCACAAGATTATGATCCAATGACAACCGTATAGTCATGCGAGTAACCCTAATGTTATATTGTTTACCAAGGAAAAATGTTAAAAAAAGACTCAATGCCCTGATTGAGTCAGCTACAGAATATTGTTTTAATTTTAAGAAAATATAATGTATAAAGTAGTTTTATGGAATCCATAGTGACAAATCGCACCTGACAATATACAGCAGCATTTTTACATGCTTCCCTTATTTTTACTCCAGCAGGATGCCATTTAGCTGGGCCTCGATCTGTTAATAACCCCATAGATAATCCAGATGCATTTATCACACCAATTCCCTGGCTCTGTAATAGGAAAATAAATTGAAACAGAATTTATCATAATTGTCAGTGTACGCAATGATAGAAGAGTAAAATGTTGAAATCGTGGACTAAGAACCTCCATTCATAGTGAAAGTTATCACGCCTGCTTAGTGGAACTCCTTTTCGTTATTTTTTATTTGAGAGTTTGTTAAGCAAGATGTTAAGTATATAGAGAACTGATGAGTGCTGGAAAACCACTTACCAGATATGTTCGTTTTACCGCCCGATCTTGATTAAGGGCCCGTTTGAATAGCCGCCCGTGTGAACAGAACATAAAAATAAATAAGGGCCGGTGCTCGAATACCCGCCCGATGTAAAAGCTGATTTTTCAGTGGTAGAGAACAATAGGAAAAAAGGATGCTTTTGTCAAAACGCTGTTGAATTTTAAGCGCTGGTGGATAACACTCACGCCTTAGGCGTCCAAAAGTCAAAATTTTCGTTATTCTCGTTTAAATCAATACTTGAGAACTGGAAATGACAATATATTTTGCGTATAATTTTACTTTATAAATAACCAGCGCCCGTGCTTGAATAAGGGCCGGTTTGAATAAGAGCCCGGTTAGTGAGTTTGGTTAAAAAAATATGGGCCCGGGCTACAAAACGAGCAAATACGGCATGTTATATCCTTGCCATTAAATATCTGTACTCATTGCTGATTATTTTTGTGTTTATGTGAGCTCACGTTGAGAAAACATTCAATTACTCTACAATCGAGGAAGACATACAATAAATAGAAGGAAAAAAAAGTATAGAAAAAAAATGAACTGTCAAAATTGATCCTCATTAAACGCAACTCAAAATCGCTAATTGGACAATCTATATGGATGCATTGAATCTTGTTTGAGGACTTTAACAGAGAAATATAGCATGGCCTATCTTTTGAAAGCTGAAAACTAGCTATTGTAGCAACAAATTTCTGAGCCAAACAGTTCAATCACCTCAAAAAACTCCATATGATCTTGTAACGAATTATCATTCATTGATCCATGACAATAACTGAGAATTGAGTCGATTTTCACTTTAGACTTTTGAATGAGAGATCTGGTGAAAAAAAATATATATAAACACATACCGTAAGAAGAAATCTTAAAATACGCTGCCGAGTTCTTAATTTTACCACGAACATACTTTAATATATCAATAGGATAAGCAGTGATGCCAATATATCGAGCTTTTCCTTGCTCTTTCACCTTTTGTAATGCTGGTAAGGTTTCATTCACAATGATTTCCAGATTTGGTGCAAATTCAAAGTCATGAACCTGCAACAAAATGATCACTTCAGTCATAGTTAAGAGCAGATCTACGCAAAATGGGTTATTTGACAAACAACAAAGATTATGAATTAATAATAAATTTGAGTGCTGCTGTCCAGAAACATAACTTGGAATGGAACTATAATCTGATAGTTGAAAATTCTATACTTGTATAACTTGACAAGTATGGATGTTTAGAAACTAGTCATGCTTAATAAAATATTATAGATAGGAATAACAGTAGTTCATTTTTTGAATTCACAAAAACAAATTAAATGCTGTGATAAAAATAAAGTTTGCAAAAGCATAGAAATAGTGTGCTCTCTACTAGAAATCCGTTGCCCAAGGTACTGATCAAATAGCAAGTGACTTATAATAAGAAAATGAACAACTAGTAAAAAACAAATGAAGTTTTACCAATAATATGAATGTCTATAAATTAGGTGATAAATAGACTTCTTGTATTTCTATTCATTGCTCTGATGAACTGTTCTATAATATATTTAAAGTTGAAAAAGTCCTAAAACTTGTAATGTTTGCTTCTTACAGTGTGTTCGTGCTGTTGGGAAAAACACCATTCAAGCCATCACAAATTTTTTTTCTAAAGTTTGCCACCTCATTGTGAAGAATTCTTCTATCAGATATTATCTCAGCATACAGTAATATTGGCTCAGCGGTGTGGCGCATCATGCTGAGTGTTAAGAATACGCTCGCCACAGCACTTCTGATTGCCCTGCGTGCGTTCGCAGGTTCAAATCCCATGCGGGGATAGTTATGTGGAGATGATTGCTGGCCTCCTCCACGCCGGCTTCCTCCACCATCAAGTTCATGCTTTCGAAAACAAATAACTGGCTAACTAATCTCATATCCGACATGGACTGGTAACCGGACGAGAGGCTGTGGTTTGGCATATCATTAAACCGTCTTATCGTCGTTCCTCTCCCCTGGGATAAATATGTAAATCCTTATTATAATTTGAAATTTTACCTGTATGACATCAATATAATCTATATTCATTCTTTTGAGGCTTTCGTCAACAGACTTGATCGTTCGTTCATACGAAAAATCAAACATTCCAGAAATATCTTTCTCATATCTTCCAACCTTCGTATTGATGTAATACGAAGATCTGTCCAACTGTGGCAATATCTAAAAAAAGTTGAATTTAAAAACAAGTATTAGCTACCTGAAACATACAGGATGGTATGTACCAGTACCACCACGAAAACTGAAGTAAGACTTCTGTGTGTTCTTTGCTTATGTTTTGTGTATGTTTTTCGGGGAAATCATATTAAACTTATACTTTTCTATCCAATTAAAGAGTCCAGCTGCACACTAACACAAATGTATTTCTGCAACGTTTCGTTCGATCAGAGTCAGACAAGCAGTTCACAACAATGGCAAGAAATAAATTTGATAAATAAATTTGAAATCTCAAATCAATTATGATGTAACAATGCATATAAACATTTAATTTGTATTTAGTCTTAGAAGTAATGATGGAAAAATTAGAACCACAGATATCAGTAAGGCTCAGTTCAGATATGATTCAAAAAATATTTGCATTCACGAAAATGTTGGGTAACTAAAGGTAATTAAAATTAGGATTATGGGCACCTAGAGAACAAAAAGGAAGTCAAACCAACATTTAAACGTCAAGCAATGCTTAGTTTGTTAAGGACCAATTTTAAATTAAAATAAGATAAAGGTTGTTACTGAATTTTGATCTTAAATAGCGTTGAAATATAATAATAATTCATAATAATAAATGAATGATTAATGAATTAATTTTGACGACTTTGCACTTTGTTGTGCTGCTGTCCTAGTTGTATATTGGAGCTCACCATGACTGCAGTTAAGTCTATGTTACACAAGTTAGACGCCCGAATGATACACGTCTGTATTTTTATATTTCTTTATATATAAAACGTATATATATTGGTGTGTGTAATATGGGTCAACCGGCACATGTATTTTTTATGTGTTTCAAACCTTATTATAGGTTTTGCCACCCATCCCAATGTTTTGTGTATGTTATTTGTTTTCATACAAAATAATCTTATACCTATAAATTGCAAGGTACCTTTCCCAGAACTGTTTCAGCTTTACCATGTCCATACCAGGGTGATGTGTCAATAAGATTAACTCCTCTTTTTAATGCTGTTTTAAGAAGTTCAACACATTCTTGATCGTCTGTCTCACTGTAGACACTTCCAAATGCAGATGCACCTAAAATTTAATGGCAACTTATAAAATGTGACATGACCTAACTTTCACATTTATTCTGTAATAAAGAATCATATCAATATAATGTTTCAGTGTGAGCAACAGGTAATCAAATACGTTGATTGAAATCAATATATAGATTTGCATTAGGTGCAAAATAAAATTGTATAGTAAATTATATAGTTGTTGTATTAGGTAATCATTTACCTCATCCTGCCATGGTATTCAGTTATCAGTACAGTAATAAGTTTTTTTGATCTTTTCATTCATTTTTTTTCTGCCTGAATTATGAGGTTTTTATAAATATATATCGGAATTTGTTGAAGGAATAAATGAATAATCAGAAACAGATTTTCTACTCATAGGCCCTACTGTTAATTTGTCAAATTTCTTCCTAAAAAATTTGAAATCATTGATTGAATTTACTCTGAAGTTACAAGTGTAGCACTGACATGTTCTGAGTTTACAAGGTACCGGTTAGCATATCTAAAAACTGCGTTTCCATATCGAATACTACCGGTACCGGTACAAGACAAAACCTATCCAACTTACCTAGTGAATAATTCGATATTTTCATATCAGTATTTCCCAGCTGATTGTAAATCATTGTTCAATTTTAGACGCAAACGTTTGTGGAATACCAGATCTTGTACTTTTTTTATTGTCGCGATTGTTGTTTTCCGGCTGGCGAAACAGTAAATCTATCGCTCACTACAGCACTACGCGCAAAATTTTAACCAAATGAAAACACGATCTGCATTTTGCAAAATGCCCAAGGCGATTGACGCGAATTCGTTCATCGATGTCGGCAATCGCGATTGTTTGCAAATGCTGACCTTGTTGCATTTCATGACACCACAATGAGAATACTGTATGTATATTATATAATAAGTATAAGTTTATTTCGACTCTATAATCAGCATAACAATACAAACAAATAAATAAAAACTGATAAAATATATTCTCACTTGGAACCAACGACTAACATACCCTTGGAACCTATATTATCTTAGGAATCGCTAGTACATCGAAAAGTTATAATACTTCATACTATACATACGTATGTGAACACGTACCTTTCCATCTAAAATCTATACGCTCTTAAGTTTAAACCTTACTTGAGGTTTTGTTTGCTCTTCCGATTCTTAATCAGTTTTATCAATTATTTTATCGTCTATTCACTCTATTATGCTGATTATGGAGTCGAAATAAACTTATTTATTTTTTATTATATAAACTGTGTACTCAAATTCTTAATTGTTACAGGAAGAACATAACAATTCAGTTTTATAACTCGTTCCGGTGACAAGTAGTTTTGAATAAGAAATATATCACTGCCTTCTTTCTATGAGAAATGTCTGTGCTGGTTTTTGATGCGGGCACTGCATGTGGCATTACTCGCAACAATAGTTGCTACATGATCAATTCCCAATTAAAATCTCCTGAAGTATAATTCAGTCTTCGAGTAGTTGCCACTAGTAGTTCTATGAATATTTGACTATGTCTGCTGAGCAATAAATAATTCTGTACCAAAATAATATTTGTTTTGACAAAAAAAAAAATCAATGCACCAACAAGTATCACAGTGATATATTATGTAAATACATGTTCAAAAATGTTTTGAAGAATTAAGTTTGAATTATAAAAATAAAATAACTATCTCTTTAACAAGAAACGAATAAGTTACATGACATATCGGGTTTAGTACTTATGCGTGTGGGGAAACATGACATTAAATGTGAACAAATGTACAAATAAAATCTTAAGAGGATTTTTGATGGGCCATTGATCAATTAACTGCTCACAATTCGTTATGTTGGCGATCTGGTTACGAAGTTATCCAACAATTAAGCCAGGCAAAGATCAACATGGATGATCCCGTATGAGGCACAAAGCTTCAATTGTATCAGTCTAATCCCAGGTTAAAATACTAGACATATTTGCAGAAGAATTGTTTGTGCGAGAAGATCTTCTACTGGTGTTGGATGATGTCATGACTGATGATCTTGTTGTAGAACTTCCACTTCCAAATATGTCATTTATTTGACTCTCTGTAACATGAAATATCATCTCAGTCAACAATGGTCATATCTCGTATATATATAAAAATGTTGGTACTGTTACAGTCTTAGATCATCGAATTAATCGAAAAGATCAATGGATAAGCATGGCAGAGGCAATCAAGTATGACATAATAAAACGGAATTCCTCTTTAATTAAAATAAAACAGCATAATTTTCAAGTCCCATTGAATTTGAAGAATATTGAAAAATAAATGGGTAGAAGTACCAACCTTCTTCTAAGTACCGGTACTGAAAGTTTCGAACTGCTAAGCCCATTAGTTGCAAAGGAAAGCAATTTTTTGGCAACAACAACAAGATTAACATCAACAATTTTGCAACATGTTATATAGGTCCACTTAGTGTCCAATAATTATTGAGTTTGACATAGGAGGAATATTGAATACAATTCCATTATGTGAGAAAAACTAAATCAAATTAAGGAAACAATGGCATGGCTTTGAGATTCAAAACTCAAAAGCATTGTTTGTATACAAAAGTATTTTATTTACAGTTTATTATACGTTTATTAAATATTCTCACCTGGTCGCGACAAGGGAAGAGTTGTAGAATCAAACAAAGAGTCTGAAACATATAATGAATTTCAATCCAATTTATTAAAAAAAAATTTACCTAGCAGAAACTTTGGGTCAGTGTCGATTTAAAAGAAAAAAGTAAAAATTTAATACATTGATATTGCTCACTGTGACTTGGGGAATCAACATTCCAGTAGTTACTAGAGTACACTACTATACACTTAGTTATGAGATCAAGAACAAATAATCGGAAAGGTACTTACTTTCATAAATTGAATTATCAGGTGTAGAAGCATTGGTTCTCACTGAAATCAATATAGTATCTATGCTCAAAACTATGTTTATTTGAGTTCATTCAATGCAAGGGTTTGTGATATTTGGAAAACTATAATAAATTTGAATGACATAATTCTGATATTTTATCATCAAAATTAGAAATGATCCTTATTTCAGATAACTCGATAAAGAGTTTCAATCAGAGAATCGAAAATGAAATTTGGCGCTCATCTTTAGGAGCAGATGTTCATTTGGATTAATTGGAGAACACTCTTTCATATATGTTAAATTTTTCAACATTAAGTGCCAGCACATAACACGAGGGCTGTCAAGTGCAAATTCGGCATTATCAGATGACATTGAAGCTGAAGTCATCTTTTTAAATTACACCGAATCAGGAGTCAAAATTTGAATTACCGGATGCAAATTTTCAATCATGGTTGTAGTCAAAACTAAGCTAGAAATAGGTTTTTTAATGGTCCAGAGTTTAATTGAATTTTTCCAACTGCATGACACCATTGATAATAAAAAGTTGATTTCAATTACTGATATCAGAGGAGCAAATAACAAGTTGAATTGATCTAAAATACCTGAGCGTGATCGCTGTGATGATATTGGTAGTGGAGTAACATAGTTCACTGTAACAAAGAAATATTGTAAGCATCTACTTTTCAAGTCTCAGAAGTTTGGAAAATAACAATCTAACCTGTTCTTTGCTCTGCCGAATGGTTAGAAGGTGATGAATAATCAGCCTGAAAGAAAAAAAGGAATAAATTAAATAAATAAACAGCAAATTGTACCTTCAGTAAATTCTTTACTAACATAGAGCAAAACGCTAGTTTAACTGTAACTTCGAATTTATTGTATTCATTACCATTAGTTGAACAGTTATAAATTTTTGTGATGCTTACCAGCTTTATTCCTGTGGATGTAGTTTTTTCTATTTCATGTTTGTTACTACTAACACTGTTTTCTGGCAATGTATCTTGATTTCCTCTTAGAATATTTTTCTTTATAAGATCTTGCTTTGAGGTTCTGAATGGAATAAAAAACCAATTCAGGAAAATTTTGAAAGTTTAATTTAAAAAAAATGCTTAGAAACCAGAAATGTTCCAATCGGCAATGAGTAGATTTTTGATCATTCTATTATGATATGAGGTTAATCAACATGATCAATCGAATAGCACCAAGACTTTTTTCTATTTCAAAGACTCGTCTTGCGAGTCTAAAGTGAATTCTTTCTCATGATTAGTTGAATCGTTTAATTCAGTTAACTCGAGTGATGAGTCACTCAGAAAGGTTACCAACGTTAGCAAACTAACCTTGAAATGTTCATAATATCAAAATGAGACCAAATTTTATCTGATGCAGATGCAAAATCAGCAGGTGTTCGTCCTTTATAATCTTCACTCGTTGGATTTGCACCATATTCCAATAATAACATTACAACCTGAATACAAAATAAAAAAACCTGTTGAAATCACCGGATATCTACAAAAATCTGGAAAAATTCAAGATTATAATGATACCCTTCCGTGATCTTGAAAAGCAGCAGCATGTAATGGCGTCCACAGCGTTTTCGCATTTTTAAAATTTGGATCTAAAATGAAGTAGAGATTAAACAGGAATTTTACAGAAAATATTTCCTTCTAATGTAATGAAATAGGTTTGGACAGGGTGACAAAATTTCAATGCAAGTGATGAATCAGACAATCATTTCTGTTCAGTTAAATTTTTTTTTACTTTGCATACTAGTTCTCAATTGTTATTAATAATCCAGAAGACAAGGAAATTAGAACACTTAACATTACAAGATTAAGGTATAGTAATAACCTCTTTCTCCAATTTCATAGTTGATTTAGGCAATTGTTTATGCTTGTAAGTTGTAATGTAAATACATATCTGCAATGCAATTTCCATGAATATGTTCGAATGACTAATTCAAGATTAAAAATGTGGTTATTCACAGTAAGTGAAATATGTAATAAATAAGTCAATCAAAGATTGAAATGAATGATTTTCTAAAGAGGTATTTTACAGAATTCAGGTTATTCAATGCTGGTAGATAATATTTCAACTGTTTTGCAAAATGCTTCTGCAAAATTTCCACTTTCTAAGTGGTAGTGCTGGGAAATAAATCCATTCAAATCATTTAAAATTAATTGTAATAAATGTTCATAGAATACCGAAATATCCCCAATTTATACCAACCTGCTTTATTATCGAGCAATATTTTGGCGATATCATGAAGTCCCCAGAAAGTACAGACATAAAGTTGAGATTGCATGAAATTTTCTAATGATGAAGAATCCATAAACGGTTGATCACCAAAAAATTCAGCAACAAGCTGGAATAAAACATGCAATTTACACACATTGCCGTTTCCAACATCATAAAAAATCGGTGGAAAACTCCAGATGGAATTAGCCATAAAAGAACAAGAAGAAAAAATGGGGGCTCCCGAAGTATGCGAACCAAGATGGCGGACATCGGAATGTAATATGTGTACTAAGTTAGAGTTAGGCCATAATTTTAGGTATAAATACTACGGGAGGCTCTTGGCTAGTCTTCAAACTGATAATAGGACTAAAATAAGGAAAATTGGAAAAAAATTATCGCCTAACCCTAACCTGTTACCCATGTTACGTTCCGATGTCCGCCATCTTGGTTCGCATAATTCGGGAGCCCCAAAAAATGATATTATACCTTTATGACACAATAACAAAGTACAATTTTACCAAAGCATATATATATTCAGAATATCAGTAAAAAAGCTATCTTCAAATGCACATCTGGAATATTTTCAAAATTATCATTTCTTCAAATAATAAAATCGAAGTAAACAAACTTCAGTAATTACCTCTTCACTACCTCTCTGTGCTAAACTAGATAACATAAAAGCAGGACTGTCAACTTGAGCTTGTTCTATATGATTTGAGAGACGCACCAACAAAAGTTCCTTTTGTGAAAGGCTGATTTCTTTATCTCTGTTATCTTGAACTGCTTTATTGAACGACATTTTAAATAATTAGCAATCTATTGCACAGAGAAGTCTAAACAATAAATAATAAGCTACACACGGAATGCAAAATATAACTCATCTGTTTATTAAAGACAGAAAGACCAAGACATATATGATAATTCCTGTAGGCTAATGACTGGACAAATCATTTAGAAAATAATTCGGTAATTAGTAGGTAACGTTATTCCTGTAATCACATAAATAATAACTACCATTCTAGGCCTATACGTTACAAACAAAACCTGCCTAACCATTGCCCCCATACTGGAATTATATTTTCTATAGTTCAGTAATTCTGTCATTGACACAGTCTTCTGAACCCTCATTTGAACAATTTACAAAAAGTACATTAACTATACCCACAATCGGAATTAGAATTTTAGATGCCGCGTTTCATACTAACAGAACCACACTGCGATAGACCAGATATGTAGATCTTAGCATTTAGTTCTACATGGTTCTACACGCCACATAGGCTATCGTTACTGCATCTGAGAATGGAGAACATGACAATTCAAACTTATTCCAGATTAATAAAAAACTCCGGCTGCTCACTCAGCAAGTCTCGGGGCTTATTGCCTGGAAAAAGACTAGGTATTCATAAATGAACAGGAATGCCAAGCTTTTTTATCATAATTATCAAGATAACTCAAGTTTATTGATGGCCGTCAAAACTTGTTTTTACTGGTTGCCATGGCAACCCGCTGCCTTCTGTCCGGCGAAAGACTCGTTTCAAGCTCGACTACCAGTATCCCAGTTAGGATCATGATTCATGACGCGCATATGTGACCGTAAATTAAATTAACAACAAAGGGTTCTTTTTGCTCACCATTTTTGGTGTCATATTCTTTTACAATCCTTGACGTCCCTTTGTTAATCATGGGATAATTGGGACTACCAAACTTTGCCCTTTGCTCTTACTATTCATACATAATGTGCCTACCCTCAAACACATGCGTCGGCAAATACCAATACTTTATGTAACGAGGCAAATTTTTTGCTGAGAAATCGGGAGAAAACGCGCTCAAACATTATTATGAATGTGTTATAACTCTGTATTACCACACCTAAAACACAACTGTTATCCAAAATATACCTATTCTCGAACTGAACACATCGACAATTAGCAATACTTTATGTAAGTGAAACCCACTCTTTGCTAAGAAATCATGGAGAAAACAAAATAATGAACTCGCCCAAACCTTATGTGTCACAACCACTACCACACTCAAAACACAAGATAAAACACAACTGTTATTCAAAACGTTTAATAGTCGCTGTCGCAATCTACACATAAGCTGGGCATGATACAAAATAGAATTTCAATCTTAGCAAAGAAACTAATATCGGAAATGAAGAAAAATTTTCTAAGAGTGATATTCAACCGCTTAATACAATCAATGCAAAATTGCCAGCAGAACAAGTTACTCCACTGAAGTTACTGAAACTATTTATAAAACATCCCAAATTGAAATACAGCAAAACGGTAATATGCAAGCATGAAATACACGATATTATCTATAGCACCAAAAAAAAATTAGTCACAATGAGTCGGATAAGATCAGTATTGGAGTTAGAATCAGTGCCGTTTAATTCCAGTTTATCTTATATAACATAAACGCGACACTTAGCAGCATTGGTAAAAATAGCAAGCATATAATGAAAGTAATAAAAAACAGAACAAAAATAGGACAAAACAAAAAAGCACAATATTTTAAATAAATGTATTCAAAAGTGCTGATAGATGTTGTCCTTAATTATCAAGAATTTATCTATATTCACAATTAGTCATATCTGACTATGGTATATCTTGGTTGTAGAAATAATTTAGATATTTTCGTGTAAATTGTCAAAAATAGTCATTTTTAATATTTCATATATGTGAAAAAAGTTTTCCAGGAAGTACTCGTAATCATTGATTATTGAAATTTTGGTTATTATTACTAATATCAAGACGTTAATATGATAACATATATATTTTTTTCATTGAGAAATGGTACTTTGATTTTAAACGTCGTCTTACCATAGCCAGAACATATTAGAAGAAAAAACTAGGCAAATTTGAAACTATAACTTAAAATACACAGTAATCGCACGAGAATATATTCTATCCCAATTTTAACTGTTTGGTCCAATATTGCAATTTCAACCACCACTAACACAATAAACAATAGAAATGATAAAACATAAAATAATCACAATACGAAATTAAGCACATTATTAAGCGTAACAAACACTGATGTAAGCAAATAAATATATGAAATAAAAAAATAAGATAATATATTACAAAATAGCTTTGCTCATGAAAATATATAGAAAATTAGTTATTAATTATTAAGGACTTGAGCATACAATAAAGCGAATGCGTACGTACCGGTTGTATGTCATCACCAATTGGCAAAATGAAAGTTTGCTTAAACTATTGCTATAATGAAAGTAACTCCATATTGAATGCAGTTCAATTCTGAATTGGTACGGTATGTAATGGACTCAGCCATACAAATTAGCATGATATCTTCCAAACAAAGCGGCAAGATGCAATATTACAAAGGTACTTGCCGTGTTTTTTAGTAAATTCAAAATCCAGAGCCAAATATATTCAAATGTATCAAATATGGTTGTACCATACAGGCACAGAGAGCCCTGTACTAAACTTTTAGAAAAAATGGTATTGGGGCTTACAAGGTAGAAGATTAGTTTTGTAATTGCGTTAGATAGCAAAATAGTGCAATTAGTAAGAATAAAAGTAATATTATACGCGAATTGATTATGAACTTTTGTAGAATCGAGAATATATCGAAGTAGGCAGTGGTGTTTCCAATGTCTCATTTACCATGCATGAAAACTTTGCGCAATATTTTTTAAACTGGTTTAAAAATTTCCCAAAGGATATTTTCAGTGAAAGATTTTCACCAATTCCTACCAAATTATACCACAACATAAAATATTTTTGACACAAAAATTTGGCTAGTATGAACAAGAAAAGCATCTCTAAGCGGGGATTGACAGTAAAAAAGGCACATGACGTTCACAAAGCAATGTTATAAAATTTAACTTTCAGCGATCGATAAAATGTAAAATAACAAATATTTCAACATGAGGGTATCTTAATAACTCATAAAAAAATATGAACCTGACATTCGGAAATACTTGAAGACAAAAAATGAAAAAAAATGTTTTCAAAGTGCAATCCCTCATTAGAGATTATTACTGTCAAATTTATTATTCATTTTCAGCTGCTCATTGAGTTATGAGTGACAACTCAGAACATTCGGCATTTTTATATTGCAATATATTTTATTTGCAATAATGATTTCTTCGCCTTTCCATGTTTGTGCTCCAAGCCCATTGTTCTGTATTGCAAAAATGTTTATAATCTACATTCTCACGGACTGTATCGAGATGATGGCCTTGGAGGTGAATACTGTAAAGAAACAATTAGCATAAGTAAATAATGTAGCAGAACATGTTACTACTTTAGGGTACAGAGATGGTGCATAAACTGGTTGCAAGTCGGGAAAGTATTCTTGCATCCACAACGGACAAGTATGGGATATTCTAATCATATAATGAACTATGGTCTTTTGTTCAGTTAATGATTCAGGTTGGGTAGAGAAAGGTAACTTGTTCAGGGAAATTAGAACAAAATTGTGAACGTGTTTATTTATTATGAATGATGAGTCAATCGTCAAGCCTCTTGCTTGCAAAGTATAATTCAATCTCGAATTGTAATACACCAAAGAAAATCAGTTTTAAAAACATAATGTGCAACAAATAATTAAGCCTTTTGGTAAACTACACAGCAATGCGGAATACCATAAACAAATTACAAGAAACAGTTGCAAGACGCATAATGTTTGAGTGCAATTACCACCACATTAGCACTGTTGGCAAAATTCAAGTTATTGACTCGACTCGAGAGTTTATCGAAGACTTGTAGTGAGTCAGTCATCTCCAAATGACACTATAGTTCTCACTCAACTAACTGCCAACGCGAATTAACTCAGTGATTGACTAGACTCTAAAAACCTGTGACTCGGCTTGACTCGCAACTCGAAATATAAATATCATCTTATAATAGTACACAATAATGACCATGTTTCTTTTTCAATGGGCTTGTTCATAGAAATATAGAAATTCACAAGAATCCAGTCAATAAACAATATAGGAAGCTATATGTAAATTATTCATAAGATCGTTGTAGGATAAAGATAAACAGATAGCCTATACTATACGCTGCAGACATGGACATTTAGATATAAAAATTAACTTACCGGAGGAGGATTTTCAATTAGACTGACATCTTCATCAGAACCTTCTCTGAAAAAACTCAAAGTATTGGTGGCTACTCCATAGTTACTATTTGTGGATGTTGTAGTTGCATAAATTGGATTATTGGTTCGTGTTATATTTGAATTTCTAGCGGAATTATTCCGATAGTTAGTTGTACGAGGTAAAAACGGATCATCATCATATTCCATCAAATCGCTTGAATCTCTTCTGTATCTGAATAAGAAAGAATCAACATGAATTATAAAAACGGTTGAATTAGAATTAACATAAACTGATCTAATAAAGCAGTTATTCTCAAAATTTTATAAAGCGCTGATTATATGAAAAACGTATTTACAACCAATTCGATACAAACCCAATTAAAAAAGTAGACAAATCAAAATTATGGTGCTATTCAATGATATAGATGAGCTTTTGGAACTTCAATGACTATTTTGATAATTAGAGACATTTTAGTCAGGTACATTCTCATAAAACCTGGTTTTCTTATGGATAGGTGATTTTTCGCTTTGATAGTAATAGCACCAAAAATAAAAAACCCCCTTTTCATCCAAATAAAAAAATCAAAACGTACAAAATTATCAGGTATGTAGCAGATGACTTGCACCAAAATGTGCCCCCCCCCTCCACTGGGGTATCTCCCCCAGAGGGCAATATTTGCCATTTTGATAATTGTATTATATTTATAATACTCACACATGTCTTCCATATTGTTTGCCGGTTTTAGCTGCTGCACAAATTGCAAAAGTCATGCATAATCCTGTAGCGAGCATTGCCGCAGCTAATGCAAATAATCCTTCCATAGCAGGACCACAGATTGATGTGATAGTTTGTCCAAGAGCAATCTTAGAAGGTTCGCAATCCACCATAACATTGAGAGAGGTAATTAACGAAAACATTTCAGTAATCTTGGTTTCAATTGAGTGTAGAATAACCTGAAATGAAATAAAGCTATAAATATTAAACCCAGGGTGCAATTAATTGAATAGACAATGTCAAACCAGAAAATATTCCTGTCACCCCCAAAATACTAGCTTCTTACATTTTGTTAGATAACATGGCTGGATGTAGTGCAGTGGAGCCTTGGTCAGAGCAAGAGCAAATAAGCGTCCTATAATTTTTTTTATCATTTATGATTCAGATATGCTAGTAACAGATGGTATCATGCTGCTTACAACAAGGATAGGTTATCTATATTATTATAGAAAGCATTTAGCCATTTTAATCCATTTTTTGTCCAAATGTGTAGCTTCACAGGAATTAATTTTTTTAAATAACTCCTTGTCATCCTATAATACATTGATTGTACACTTGAATGATGTATAGAAATTTATATCATTGTAATGGTTGAAAGATTTGCAAGTTGAAGGCAACAAAACTACATTTATCATGTAATATTCGTTATAATTCCTGAATTCCTCATTAAAATTTAGTAAAATTTATTTTGGTGAATTTGAATGACGTGATTAAAATTAGGAAATTTTCTATTAGAGATATTTACTAAGTACAACGTTGCCAAAATTTCCTAAATTAAAATCATTCGTGACACAGGCAATTTCTCCCTAATTGTGTAATACCATGATGCTGACAAATCATAAGAATCCGTACATAATTACTGCGTCATATTCACATATTATTTCCCCGAGTAATATTATGATTGAAAATAACCCTGAGGGCATATTAGCTAAAACATGTGAAAGACGATGAAGTATTGCCAGAAGTTACATCGACAGTAATTAAGCAATTAAAACCCACTAAAGGCTAATCATTGTACTAAGAATGTCTTTATTTGATGAATGGCCAACCATACATCAAAATAAGAAACAGTTTTACGAATTCAAGAACGCTTGTAGTTTTTATGATTAGTTAAAGACTTTCACACCTTTCCAAAACAACTTTTTCAGCAAGTAAACACTTTGGCAAACCGAGTCTAAAATAAGAGACATATTATTGCCAATTTGTTGCTTTTAAGGTAAAGTGATTGCCATGATCTGACGAACAATAGAATTAAAATAAGATGGCTCAAAATATTATTTCGAAATTTATTTTTCTGTAATGATTGAGGTACACATAGTAACCTTTTTAAGTCCCAGTGAAATAGAAAACATATTCCATGTAGTTCCATAGGAAAAAGAATATTTTGAGTGTTTGTGGGCACATTACGAGGACTGCCCATTAGGCATAATATTCAACAAGAATGGTGTTCTGATATGAATACATCCTGATGAAACGGAATACTTATTAACTAAACAACCAAATTTATATATACCTCTTGTTCCTCCGTTATATTTTCTTGTCTTATTATCTCCGCAGAGTGTTCCATCTTTTGCAAAATAATTCTGCCGTCTTCTATTTCTGAAGAATACGGATGGTATTCATCAGTTTCACATTTGAGAAAATAATTTGCGACTTTCTCAGACATGTATCCTTTATTGACAGTCTGGTTATAAATAGCTCTGAATGGATCAACACAAAAATCAGCAGCGGCCTGAAAAAAAATAATTTAAAAAATAATTAATAATGACCAATTAGAAAATCAGTATGCCGAGCTCAGGAACCGAATAGAATCAAAGTGTAAAATTCAAAAAATGAATTTTTCAAATAATTGATGATCAAAAATATATTTAGTATGTTATGCTAACAAACCTACGGTAATAGAAAACAAGGTGTAAAATTTACATGACATTCCATGGCTTTCAGAGAGTTTTATTGTCATATTTTGAAATAACGATAACACAAATATAACAATCTGTTCCACCAATGGCTCAAATTTTCAAATTCGTCACAGAAACGTGAATTCTCATTTGTAATTCAAGTATGTGCACACATGTGCCAAACCACACTAATCTTTTTTAATCTGCTTAACACATCAAGGAAGGAATTTGAGATTAACAAGTAATTTCTTAATAACAACATAATGACAGGATTGAAGCATGATTTCCACTTATTACTCGCACAGAATTAATATCGAATAAATCTGAAAGAATTGGCTGATGCCGAGGAGATAATCGATACTAACAATCTATACTATACTATATTTTTTTATATGGCACATCTCTTTGAACAAGGACCAGTACATGCGGCCACTGATATCTAATCTGTGATGCCAGCACAGTCTAAGTTTAACGCTGAACCGGTAGAACCGATTGTTTCAGAATCGAATCGCATTTATATCCGAAAAAAAATACCAAATTCACATAGAAAATTTACAATTCTGAATTATGTATATTCCATGATATTGATATATTCGCTACCCACATGCTGCCTTCCTAAATTTGAGTTTTGAACTATCTCTGGATTGATGTACAACCCACAAAACAGCATTTCAACAATAACTCTAACATCAATTTTCGAATGAAACAAAATAAAACAAGTTCTAGCTGAATGAATATATCATTCTAGCACTATGTTTCAGCCAACCATTATTTACAAAGTACACAAAAAATGTGATATTCCGCTTTCACAGAACCAAAGATATTTCATGTGAATTTAACTTAAAATTGTGTGTAAACACAGTGGAGCCAATTAAAGCATCAACCAACCAAAGAAAATAGTGTGAAATTAAGCATTTTTCACTCGCTAATTGATAGTCACCTTAACCAAAATTGCCTTGCAAAATCTAGAGTGAAAAATGACTTATCGTATAAATAAATAAGTGACAGTCAGGCAGTATAAAGAATGACAACAGATAAATTCCTCTTCCAAGTTCAGAAAATTCAATCTTCATGACTTATTTTTTTTCAGCAATATTAAATGATGTAGCATACTCACCACACTTATAGGCAAATCAGCTCCAACATAAAAGTAAGTTGCTGTCAGACAAAAAGTTCCCAAAACAATCGTACTGCAAGAAAAAAGAAAATATTTTTCAAGTAAAAAAATCAGAACAAATAGATTATCAAGATAGTGGTGTGAAACTTGACATTTACTGCTTCACTTAGTCTCGCATCAATTGATATTTATTAGTTTACAATTTTATGTTAAATTTTTTGTAGTAGCAGTGGATCTCAGAACTTTCTTGGCCTCCCTCTTGGCTCAGAGATCAATTCCGAGTGAGTAATTGTGACATCACTTTGAACAAATTTCTCGAAAAAAAAAAAAAACACCAACAGCATTTTAATGTATCCAAGAAGATTAAAAAGCAGACTAATATGGATGAAATGAATACTGAGAATGTAGAGATTAAACATATTTAATATAGGTAATTAATAATATTATATTTACGCAACAAAATTAATATAACGTCATCTTAAACTCAGTTAAATTTCAAACCTATCTGGTATGAATATTTGACATTCTTATTGGTGAGAACTACGAGGTGTGTTTCCATTTTATACCCAATTTCATCCCTGGGCCAAGCATGTACTATATTCGATATAACAGCAAATGTTACGCCTCCTATATTGACTCACATGATGAAATCATGATACCTCACCAAACTTACACAACACACATACCAAAGTACACTATATTTGTCTAGACTTTTAATAAATCCCATTTTAATTGTTTCCCTTCAACAGTTTTTGAAACAGGACTATTAATACATAACCAAGCTTAATTCTACTGAAGGGGTGTTTGTTTTAGATTGTTTCAACTTGTTTTGCCCTATTGTCAGTGAATAAATCATCAACACATTGTGAAAAATTTCTAGTACATACGTTCATACACTATGATGATAAAAAAATTACCAATATTTTATCTTTTATAATTTTATCACCAATACATATTTAGTACATGATGTAGGTAGCTGTCCAGAGTAAATTCTTATCACTACTGAGTACTGATAAGAGTATAAATTCTATAGCGAAGATTCAAAAAATATAAGGAGGTATAACTTGATATTCAATATAAACATATTTTAGTTGAATAAATTTCCACATTTTTTTGGAAAAATTTATAATACAAATAGAAGAAGACTTACACAATTAGAGTACATTTTGATCTGCAACACAGCCCTATCATTCCAAGGAAACAAACAAAGCACTGGAATGCCAGAAGACAAAATGTTACGAGACTCCTGAAATAAAAAAAATTATCATTAGACAATCAAAAAATATTTTGAAAACTGTTTTAAAAATATAGTGATACAACATATTGATAACTTTATCACCAAGGATTGCCGAATATTTCACAATTCCGAATACATTCTGAGAAAATATTTTCGAATATGGATAATCGAATCCATTCAAATTAGGGGCAAGTACATAAATCACTATATCTTCATGCTGTTCACATATAAAACGACATAAATATGAAAATCATTGTTTTATCTGAGTTGTTTGTTATCAGTTGATATTTTACAGTTTGATCTGCTTGCCTGACCATCAAATAAAAATATTCCAAATTATTCCTATATTTAAATTTTTTTTATATCGAAAATAACAATTTTCAAATGTATTCGAAAATTTGATTCTTTTTGGACATCCCTGCTTAATATAAAATCGAAAAATGAATCCAGCATTCAATGATTATTAGATGCAGTTATCAAAATGACTGAGTTTGAATCATAAACCATACCAGACTGTTTTACGTTTTAAAAATTACTTCCCTGATAAATCTGTATTTACGGGAATAGCTCTACTAGGCTAGTCATAACAAAACGAAGAAAATTGCGGTATGTTGAAACATTGATACAATAAAGGTACCTCGTGGTTGTGGTATTTGAGTAAAACTAAAATATCATTCCTTTAAACTTAAAGTCAGCTATATCAAATTTCAAAATTCTAATCTGCAATAATATACAGATTGTTGACAGTGAATAAGTTCATATATGACCAATGGTTATTAACTTCAGGAATCCCACTGAGAAAAAATGATTAACAATTTAGAAATACTTGAAAAATGGACGCTTGTAAAGCTGTAGCTATAATAAATAAAGCAAAAATTCATTCAAAAATACATATTGCATTTTTATTAAAAACTAAATGTAGATAATCCAAATGTCGAAACTGATGTGCAATACATTCAAATGTCCATCAGTCATATTTATAAATTTGGCATGGTGTAATAATTTCCTACCTTTCCCAATAAGGCTAATACGGAAGTGTTTTATATTAGTACGGCCATTGAACAGCGCTTATAATTTCCCTTGGGTCCAATTACATTGGCAAACTGATGATATAGACATCTAAACTTGGCAATGATAAATTCGTATCAGGTATTTTATATATGTCTGCACCGGTGCTCGTGGGACAGCAAAAAGCACTTAAAGACCCGCATTCAAAAAACCCGCAAAACTAATGACGATTGCAACCATGGAAGAGGTGATAAATACTTTCATCATGGAACAACAATTTTTCTATTACAGTAGTTCAACACAAATTATGTAATATAGGTATAGCATTCTATATGGCAGAAACCAATGGCTAGTTAAAGTACATTGCGCCACATTGATTCCATATTTCTGGCAGTGCATATGTTACACAAGTAAAAGCACTATTGTTAAGTGACATACTGTAATACTGCCACTCTGCCATATTATTTATCAATCTATCTCACACTGGATTAACTGAAATAGGCTTACACTAAGACTCCATGGCAAAATGCTAGTGATTAACGTGGAAATTCCTACTGACGTGATTTAAAATGCATCAAATTTATCGGTAAAAGATTAAAAAAAAATCTAAAAGAACTATAATAACAATAAGGCTAAAGCTGGACATAAAGTATGAAAACTTCGATTGTTAGTTTAAAAGTATATAAAAAATATCGGTAATCATCGTTTGATAAGCAATAGAATACAATTTTCATATTTATCCCGGGGTAAAGACAATTGACTAACGCATCCTAACATTTAGAATGATGTGCTCTCTATACTGTTGCAGAATGTTTAAAAATACACGATAGGAATTTATCTACACTATTGTGTATTTAGTTAGTAAGATTGACAATGTAAAGAGGGTACTCCCGTAGTGTGTGTACCAGGTTAGGGTTATGGCATAATTCTATTCCGATTTTCCTTATTTTAGTTCTATGACAATTGACAAGTCGTAAGACAAGACAATTGTAAAGTAGGCGATAAAAATTAGTTACCTGCATATTGGTACACACACTTCTGGAGCGCCGTAAAGAGAATATTAACCGATTGTTCATTGAATATTCGAAAATCAGCAAAAATTTTTAACAACAATATATAATACCTGTAATACTCTGTAACAACAACAATTTCTACAGCCCATCCTAATCTGTCTTCAATGCTATCCAATGGCACAGCTACAACATTAAGGGCATCATAGATCTTATGTGAATATCCTTCCATATTTAAAATTTCAATATCATCTGTCTTCATTTCTTTTAATTCAGTGATAGATTCCATCAACTCATCAGTTGAATCGAGCAAACTTCTGACCTGAATTTTTATTGGAACAAAAACATGTTTGAAAAAATGATCTCAGCAAATCATTTTTTTCTATTTTTATTAGGAAATTTGCTAAAAGCAAGGTCATGTGCAAGCACTCACTCAGAAATAAGGGAGATAGATCTCTGAGTCAAGTTACAATAATTACGGAGACTATAACAAATTATAGTGTAGAGTTGTGCGTTAGTAAATACCAATGACGCGAGACTTAAAGCAGTTCATGTCACAATTTTTTTGGTGGTCACACAGACAGTGAATCTGAGAAAGCTCACATCCAATCAAGTTTTACAACTGAAAATGGGTAGGCATGGATATTCTACACCAAAATTGTTAAGTATTGGAAAGCTTGTAATGTCTAAACAGCTGAAAAATTATTAAACACATATCATTTTATTACATTGAATCGTTATGTATGATTCTGATGTAAAAAAAATCGCAAATTCAACTTTGATTTAAAGAGAGCTATTTTAATTGATAATCTGTAATGGGTATAGTCCTAAAAATAGTATAGGCTTCAAAAAATATTATAAATTTTAACTCTTACTTTATCATTAAGTGATACAAATGTATCATTTGCTGTACGGACCGCAACTGCTACAACTTTTATTCCATCCCCAGTCTGCATATTACCATAAACGGCAATTCCAATTCCCGCACTGCAAAACAGATGAAAACAAGTCATTTCTTCATACATCAAGTAGCTCAACACAAAGACAATAGGAGTAGTTATTGGACAGAGTGGACCTATGGAATATTTTGTTATTATGTTGTTGTTCTTGGAACTTCTCATCCTATCATTATGAAAAAATCGCCTTTTTCTATAATTACTGGACCAATTGCTTTGAAATTTTCAGTGGTTAAAAATTGTACTTTTCACTAGAAGGCTATTACTTTTATTTATTTCAAATATTTCTGTGAGCTCTATCGGATTCTTTTTTTTTGTGTGCTGTGATGTCATCAAAATTTGCACACTTGTCGCGGTTCCGCGAGCGCATATCAGCAGATCTCGTGCTTAGCGAAAGTGGGAAGTTTTTTATGGGGAACAGTAAACTGCTGTACCTAAATTGGTAATACAAGAATGACTCAGATAAAAGTTAAGCTATTGGGCATAATCATAGCATTATATTAGGTGTTAGCAACCAAATAAATTTGGTAATAAACTCACAGGTTGAGCATTACAAATACAACCAGTACACAGACGGAGCAATAACATCCACCATCTGTATCTTTGCCTTCAAACTCCCCTCCTTTTGCTTTCAGGCAGCAAAAATATATCGCAAATCCCATCATTGTGAACAACAGTAAAAATATTGCCATGAGAGCTATCATGGCCAAACTCTGAAATAAAAGAATTAAATTATATATATGAAAAAAATGAAATAATTAAGTATACATTGACATCAATGAAAAACAGGGAAAAACTCTCAATTGCTTCTAAAACCATTTACAAATATCTATTTACATCATTTTGCAAGCTTTATAATTATAATATTAAATTTCATACCATTGAATTGGTCGTGCTAACTAATTTAATTTAAGTCCTTATCCATGTCCTCATGGCAAAAAGGTGAATGTTGAAATTTTTAACATAATTTTTATATGAAAATATTACAAAGAAATAAGTGGCATCTAACAATAGTTTGAAGCAAGATACACCTAAGTATTGCAATGAGGAGTTGGAAGAATTTGAAAATTCCAAAATATACATTTTCATCATTTCCATAAACTTTTAAATTTCGTCTTTTAGACTTGATAAAGTTTTCGTACGGCCATCTCATTCATCTGGTATGATCTGACAGATATTCAACCACCTATTCTCTGATAATGCATATATAAACCAAAAAATATATTAAAGTTACCTCCCAGTATGCAGGATTATCGAAATGGTAATCTTCTTTAGATAAAACTGTGAATTGGAAGCTGATATGAGGCACAGAATGAAATAAATCCACAAGCCAAGAGGCTGAATAATTTCCCATTGTGATAACTTTTTATAACTTACAATAAATTATTTCTGCAAAAAGATTAAAATAAAACTTTTCAATTATAAAATGTTCGACTGTCAGACTAATCCAGAAAAAACACTTTCAGCTTTTGAACGTTACACCCTATTCCCAGATTCCAGTATTCAGCGATTTCTGTATTTGCAGATTTGGCATGGAACATAATATGTGTTTAGTCAGTTAGTTGAAAATTGAATAGGTTTGTTTTCGACTGAACGGGTCTGCCAAGAATTGCTTTCCGAACAAACTTCTTTTAGAAAAACATAAAAATTTACATCACATTTTTTTGAGGTTATTTTTGTCTTACATTACAGCATTACGATATTTAAGCTGCTTCGACGTTTACTTTGCTAGACCTGACAAAGGTATTGCACAACGATGATACGTACAATATTGGTAGTCAATTAATAACATGTCCATATTTCAGGTTTCGATGTAAAAAAATTAAAGTATATCAAGTCAGCAAGTAGGGTATAAATTGTGAATTAATTTTATTTGCCGCTGTATTGATGTACCTATTGTTTCACTGCAACATTCAAAAAATCACATAAATTTTCCCACAATTAAATACAGCAATAGGAACTAAAATTCAGAAACCACTATCTGCAGATCTGTCTGTATTTAAGTATTTTATCATTTTGTGGCGATGGAATTTAATCTGCTTATCCGCCAGTCTAACCTATACACACAAATACATTTCGCAGATTTCAGACGCTATACAGTAAATATAGTACCGGTATGCAGTATAAAAATTAAACATTTATCAATACCGGTACTGCAATACCTGAAAACTGTTAGCCTGCCCTGAAGTCATACCCGAACCGTTCTTCCAGGTACCGTATGGTAGTGTAACACTATGATGTGATTTCACTTTATCGCCTCATATTCTGACATTTGTGCTATTCTCCTCATTCAGTCATTGTCAACGTTATAGTCAGGTAGTCACATAGTGAAGAAACCGCGAACTATGATTTAGCGTCACATTCAAAATTCTTACGCAAATATTTTCAACTTACCAGAGTGAATGTTTAAATGTCATAGCGTTCACTCCATTTTATTTTCATTTTTTATAGGTTCCACTCAACGACTAACATACCGGGTTCCACTATTGCAGTATTGAGAGTTACGGTACCATTGCCTGTGGCGCTCCACAGAGTAGAAAACGCAATAATAAAATGAACTAGAGAGATATGCTCAAATATATAGACACATTGCGCCACATAATGGCAAATGTGATAGCCTTCTAGCGAAAAATATATCCTTTACCCACTAAAAATTTTAAAGCAATTGGTCCAGTATTCGAAGAGAAAGGCGATTTTATAATGATGACGGAAAATGATAACAAGAACAACAACAAAATATTGAAATGATCGTTATGTCCACCAAACGTGTCCAATAACAATACAGGGTTGTTGGAAAACTATAATAAGCTCGTTTTTTTACAGCGCAATCGTATTTGTGTTATCGAGCCCATATAAATGTGATGTTTTCGTTAATAAAAATAGTGCCCTAGGCTTGAGTCAATCTTTTTCATGGTAAATCCGGCCCTACTCGTACCGAAAATAAATAATAACACGCTCGTACCTATCGTATATTTAAACACACCACAAAACGCATGTGTTACTGGCAGTAACTTACCGCACTTCCTTGTTTTGTTCTGTAAGCCAGGCCTGGGCATATTTATGTTTGAACTGTAAATAATCTGCCATTTATGTTTATAACGTTTAAAAACATTTTGCATAAAGTAAAAAATGCGACACGGCGAATGAGTAATTAGATATTTTGGTAGAATATCGAATATATAAATTGAACATACGATTGCTCTCTTTTCATGGTTATTGGCGCAATGTATATACAAACAACAAACAATCACTCTTGGAAGATAGAAACAAATGCAGAAAAATACGCAATAAGGCTAAAGATAAATATGCGAATTCAACGAAAAACGGTATTGCTGCACAGAAATTTGAATCCTGTGGTTTTTGGAAAATAATCAATAATGTCTGCTATCCGGCTCTCATTCACGACTCAACATTATATACTTAGGATGGGATTCACATATATTTTTAAAGAGGGGGGGGGGGGGAGTCAATGGGACAGCTCAATCACATGGCGAACCACGGTCTCTCGTCCTGTATCAGTGCATGTCGGGTATGGGATTAGTTAGCCAGTTATATGTTTTCAGCTGCATGAATTTGATGGTGGAGGAAGCCGTAACCGACCAGCGGTTACGTGAACCACCCTACGGCGGCGAGGAGTCCAGCAATTCTCTCGCACATTATTCACCCCACATGGGATTCGAACAAGCGAACCACGCGGTGTAATTAGAGGTGCGGCGGCGAGCGTATTCCTAACGCTTAACACGGTGTGCCACACCATTGATGACTTACAATGGATAGAAAACTCATTGTTGTCGCCACAGACGTGCCACGCTTGAATGACCTTCTGTAAAATATTATTCTGGGGCGCCCAAACAAACCACTGTGAAGCTAGTAGCAAACCTTCTTCTAATTTTGCGCAGCGGTGCGTTAAATCTCGTTTTTGTGCTCATTGAAGCGCGATATTGCAGTTTTGTGCTTATTGAAGGGCGTTGGTGTAAATCATGGGCGAGTCCTAAATTCCACACTGAGAATAACACTTAGTTTACAGATACAGAAGAAATACATTGCGATAAGCAGTAAATTCAAATATATTTACGGCAACTTGCGAATGAGTGGAGATCATCCCGGCGGTTCGATCGACTTTGGCGTTTCATTTGTTAAATTACATTGGCGAAAAGTTTATATACTCGCCTGATAAAATGGGAACAGGAAAGATCCGTTGACAAAATGTTGGATTACGTATTCATATGTGTTATAAAAAAATAAAACAAAAATAATGAAACTAGTCTTCCATGTCATCTGCATATGTTTAAGTATTTACTACTAATTAAAAGTTATGATTCTTTTACATGACATTTTGGGGTAATAGTTCTCATGACCGCAAACCTTTATACGGGGGTGTTAGATGGCACTCCAAGGAGAGAAATTATTAATTTTAACCGATCCAATGTTGAGGTCTAAATCATATGACCATCTAGACCAGTGGTTCTTAACCTTTTTTGCATATTTTACCCCTTCATCAAACAGGATTACAAAATTTACCCCTAAAACATCATTAATTAAAAGTTATCAAGTAAAGTATAAAGGGCCCTAACTGTAGACGCGAAGCCTTTTTTTACTCTCTTTTTTAATCCATATTCGCTTCTGTATTGAAAAAAGGACCGGTTTTTACTTAATCATGCTAAGTGCTGTTTTAGTTGGACAGGTTTCATGATAGGCCTACTATTTGAAAAGATTTCCATGCACAGAAGATACGTATACGTAAACTCAAAATCTAAATATTCGTCCTGATCAGGGGCGCAGCCAAGATTTTAAAGAGGGGGGGGGGGGGGGGGGGGGGATCGAAATCTAAAAATCTCATTCACTGTTGAAACAGTGGTCGCGATTACGCGCTCGTTAAAAGAACCGTCTTTCCTCCAATCCCTGAGAATTTCTGTGCTATTTTTAGTAGCATTTTGTTTCAACAACTTTTAGTGTGCTATTTTGGGGACAACATTTAATGGAATGGTTAAAATAACAAAGAACACCACTTAATTGAAGGTGTTGGTTTTCGGTTTCGTTTGAAATATAAGACTACTGTTAATAATACGATAACACTGATTTATCGCAACATAACGAGCCGTGGTTTATGTATGTTCATAATCATTTTTTACAATAACCAAATTTACCCCAAGAACGAAGAAATTTACCCCCAGGGGTAAATTTACCCCAGGTTAAGAAGTGCTGATCTAGACTTAATTTACTAAACACTAAGATACCGTTGGAAAATCGTCTATGAAAATTTACGCGGTTCCCCATTTGCATGTGCTTATTTTCCTCAAGTGTTAATCAAACAATGAGATGGACAAATGAATGACTTAGAATGCTTCAAAGCCTAGTAAATTATTAAAAAATTTGATTGCCGTACACGAGTTATTACTTCGTATGAAATTGTGTATTGTATGACGTAACAATGGTTGAATTTCATTATTATATCTTGGTTATTTCAGAATTTTCACATGCATTTTGTGGTATATAGGCAGTAATCAGAGCGTAAAGGAGTTATTGTTATTTCAATATGTCTCGATTACGTGAATTCAAAAGGTTGGTTTATTTTACGTCGTATGACGTATAATATCCAAGCAGCATGCCCTTCCGCTCAATAGTAGTCAAGTTTCAATATTTAATAGAAAAAAAGGGCTAACTGAAGTATTTCTCGCAACTTGGACAAAGCTTTTCGAATTTTAGAATTTAGAGTATTCTCACAGCGAAAATGGATTCATTTGTTAAAATCACATATGTCAAAAAATGGTAAAGATTACCATTTACAAATCCAAGCAGCCAAAAAGAGGGTAAAATTACCATTTTCAAATCCTAATACAAAGCCATTCCGCCCAAGAGGCACGAGATTCAACTATTCAATAATTAAGAGGGTTACCTTAAGTTTTTCATACAACTCGAAACAATCCCTGCAAAATTTTAGAAATTCGAGTATTGTCACAGACAAAATGCCCTTATGTCAAAATACTTATAGCGAAAAAATCTGATTTAGCCAAATTTGAAAGCCTAGCAGCACATTCTTCCGCCCAAGAGGCATCCGATTTGATTATTTATTATTAAAGATGTTTATCTGAAGTTTTTCACACAGTTCGAACCTAAGCCTTGTTTTTATTAGAATCTAGGGTATTATCGAAGCGAAAATGGCCTTATTTGGAAAAATTACTTATAGCGAAAAAAGCTGATTCAATCAAATTTCAAAGCCTAGCAGCACACCCTTCCGCCCAAGAGGCATCCGATTTGATTATTTATTATTAAAGGTGTTTATCTGAAGTTTTTCACACAGTTCGAACCTAAGCCTTGTTTTTATTAGAATCTAGGGTATTATCGAAGCGAAAATGGCCTTATTTGGAAAAATTACTTATAGCGAAAAA